GGCTTTTGAAAAGTTAAAAGTAGAAAAAGTTCCACTTCCGGTTAACGGAAATAGCTGAAAAGTTGAAACAGATCTACAAATTTGATATAATACTTATATATGAAATTTCATTAACGTAGCTGTAACGGTACTCAAGTTATCTTGTTTACACACACACACACACACACACACACACACACATAAGGATAAGTTTACAAAACTATGTTTTTCTTACTCAGGGAGGTGTAAAACGTCGAGATTTACAAAAATCTCGATTTTTTTTTCACGATTACAGTACTTTCTCTATACTTCGTACACGACAAAGTAAAAACCCCATGTGCGCACTTCTCTCTATCAGTCCGCAACCTTTTTAGTAGGTGATATGATCAGTATGTTCAGCGATATGTGGAGAACTTAAAGATATGGACGTTTGTTGAAAATAATATGGTGATGTCACAAATTTATAACCTAAATTTTATTAAATAAAGTAAAATAAAAATAAAGGCTTATTCGAATGTAGAAACATAATTTTGATTATGCAACCGGAAAAGCGTTTATTGTTGTGAAAAGAACGCAATAAACAATGTCGTCACATGCTACGTGTTTTAACTACGGAAAGTAGATAAAACTAATGGCGTAATTTTCCTATTTTAGAATATGAAGAAAGGAACTATTTCATTCAAATTTGATTTAAATCTATAGATCTACTTATCAAGACGTACGCTACGTAATGTATACAATTTTCTCGGCCAAAAGTAATACAAATTACTTTTAAAAACAACATAAGTAGGACTACAATTAAACAGCGTGGTTTTTAACGGAGTCATTAAAGTCTCTTGATCATTAAGTGCATTTAATATAATTTTGTGTTGACTAATAATATAGAAACTTCGGTTTTTCTAATAGCTGTTGGTAGCCTTTGTTATTTTAAATGTGCCGGATTTTTACGTATTTAGCTATTTTTTGCTTTATCACTAATATATCAATGTGTGGTGTTGCGTTTTGGCCAATAACCATTGTATAAAGTATTTTTTTTCCAAATACGTGTAACATCTAAAATATACTAGAATACCCGTCATCCGTTGGATAACTGTGGGTTTCGGGGGTCATCCATCAAAAAACATCACGTCTGTCACTCAGAGGCATAGCGACCCTTCCCGGCGCCCGGGGACAAACTTTTCGATTTTAACCCCCCCCCCCCCCCAAGATTTCGATTTTCAACCCCCCCCCCCCCCCTCAAACTTTTGATGTGCACCCGCCCCCCCCCCCTCACTCAAACTTTCGATTTGAACCCCCCTCAACCTTTCAATTTATTTTTCCAAACCATTTTGGCGCCCCAACATATGTCCCCCCGCCCCCCCCCTTCCCCCCCCCCCCCCGCCTCCCCTCCTCTCCCGCCCCCCCCCCCCCTCTTCGCTACGCTACTTCAGTGTCACTTATCGTCACAAAAAACAGACCCCACATTCAAAAATATGTTTCTTATCTTTTAAAAACACCGAAAACACCGATTTCGGACTATCCCTTCATATACTGACGTCACAGGTGACCTACTCAACTCTACTTCACCTGCCCAGTGTCCCGCCAAGTCTCAGACAACATGTTTTTATCGTTTAAAAAACGATTCCAGCCGAGCATGTCTCTGACCACACTATCCTTTCATATGCTTAGGACAAAGAAACAGATGAACTCTACTTCACCTGCCATGTATCTTGCCAAGTTCAGATAGGCAACTTTATCATTCACATCTAGAAAAAAAAATTGAAAAAAAAATATCATTGACATATTGGTCTAGAACCTGTGCCACCCGCATGAGAGCGGACTACGCTACCAACTTAGCTATTTACTCGTGACGTCACACATGAATTTTTATACTATACTTTTGAGTCTCCGCGCATAGATCTAGATCTAAGTCTAGTAGAAGAATCTAGTAACTTTCAAATTAAATTTTATCTTAAATTAGCCAAACAAAGATTTATATAAAATAATTAAGGCCTGAAATAGATTCTAGATGTATTAAGGCCTGAGATAGATTCTAGATGTAGAATTTACATTAAGTCTAGATCTAGAATTTACATTGAGTCTAGTGACCTAGATCTAGGCTAGATCTAGATCTAGGCTAGATTCATAACTTTCCTTCGACAGCTGATCTTTAGATCTAGAGAAATTTATTGTAAAACTAAATGAAAAAAGACAGTTTAAAATTGATAGACGCCGCCATTTTATTGTACTAAAGAGTAAACAAAAACCTGTGACGTCACTATTCCCACAAAGTTTAGTCGATGTTTTAACATTTAAAAAAAAATGGGTTACTCTACGTATGAATAAATCAATTAATTAATTAACGTCTTTAAATAAATTTGTGATTAACAGTCTGTCTGCATTAATAAATTATTCTCTACCTACATACTATTTTACAGCTCTCCAGATAGAGTCGAACATATCACAAAACTCGATCGGACAAACAAACAAACAAACAAACAAAAAAACAAATAAATATTCAAACATGTAAACAAACTTGACTTTTAGTAGTATATAGATAGGCCTATAATTCACGTGTAACGGGTAACGACGGCTAGTAACAGTATAAATAGCATTAATGATAATAATAATAATAAGAAGAATGATAATAAGAATAAGAATAATAACTATAATAATAATAATAATAATAATAATAATAATAATAATAATAATAATAATAATAGTTACAATATCAATGACAATAAAACTTTTATTTTATAATAAATTGGGCGAACGTAGTTTGGAAATACAGAGTGAAACAACAATGACATTCGATTAAATACCGTTTGTCAGCGTATTTAAAAACGAAACCATGATATCAAAGAAATTCTTTAAAGCACCACGACAAATGTATCGTAATCTGGTCTTAAGAAATGCACGCCTTGAAAATGTTTTCGTGCACCAAAACGTGTATTCACTTCCTGTATTTCTAAAAATGAAAACAAAAATCTCTTTTTATAAGAAATAATTTTTAAATGAGGTTAGATTTTTTTCAGGTAGTATGGGGAAGTATAAGTTCTATTTTGTTGAAACGTAAGACAAAGTTAAACAACTATCTTACATTTTAATTAAACTATAATTATAATTGCTTACTTTTATTTCCTAATTTTACCATCGTTTGCACGAAGTTAGTGAAGAATATTTTAAAGTATAATTTAATTATATCTAGATCTAGAGATCTACGCTTCGTTTGGTGTATCAAGCAGATACTACCTGGGTTTATACATGTTACGTTACTTCAAATTTTGTCAACAGAAAATAAGTATCTCCCTTAATTGTTCGTACTGTTTTGGTTCTTGAGACAAATGTAGACCTCACACGATACAGTAGTATGATTTGTTCATCAACTGACAGCGATGTTAGATCAACTCTCAAGTCAGGGTAAGTTTGACAAACTCATAGTTCTAGTCAGTGTTTCTGTTTTAAGACTAAGATTTTTAATGAGTAACTGACAATAAACTTTATAATACGCATAAATTGAAATGTTTATTCTCAAATATATTAGAGCCTGTTTAAAGTGCAGCATTTAAATCTTAATTATTCTCCATTTCAAGAAGTATCCAAATAGCTTTGAGTAAAACCTAATCGCGTTTTCATGTTATCTTGTTTGAAGCAGCTTTTTTGTTGCCAGATATAGTCCCCCATTGTACAGTATGACCTCCAGACGGAATAGTTATAGGATTTTCTTCACTCATTTGAATGTGATGTTCTGTTTAACGATAATATCAGCTAAAAAACGTGAGTATCTTAACTCTCCTAAATGTGATGTTCTGTCTAACAATAACATTAGTTAGAAATTGTGAGTATCTTAACTCTCCGAAATGTAATGCTCCGTCTAACGATATCTGCTAGAAAATGTAAATATCTTCAACTCTCTTGAATGTGATGTTCTGTCAAACGATAATATTAGCTAGAAACTATGAGTATCTTAACTCTCCTGAATGTTATGTTATATATTCGATGGGTGACTATCTTAACTCATTTAAATTTGATGTTTTATCCTTCAATAATATCAGTTAGAAAATGTCTCTTCACTCTCCTGAATATGATAATATTTCGATAGTATCAGCTACACCATGCTTGTGAAGCTCTCCCATTATTCCCCAGCATACATTTCCCAGCATATTTCCCAGCATACATTTCCCAGCATACATTCCCCAGCATACATTCCCCAGCATAAATATTTGTAGCTTCTACAGATTTAGTTAACAGACTCACACTTGTTTACCCTTAGCATATACATTATAAAGCCATGTATTCAAACATTTCTATTGATTCCAAATCTAAAAATTTAAGATTTGTATTTCTTTATCTGTTTTAGACTTACTCATTAATGTGAACTGTCATAATTTGCAAAATGTCACACATTTTTATTCGTCTAAAATTTAACAAAAAGGATTATGAACCAAAATCTTATTTCCCCCAAAGGTCGCATCTAAATAATACCACTTCGTTAAAGTATTACGTAACCAAAGAATCCTTTTCTACCTTCTCTGGAACAGTTAGCACGGTGTGGTTCGGCCCTTTGGATCAATTCGTATGCCGGTGTCCTGAGAATAAGTGTGACAACGATGGGGAATGTCTAAACGGATACGAATGCTTACATGGGTGGTTCGGTCCTTCATGTCAGTACGGTAAGTTTGATGGGTGGGATATCTCGACGTTTCATTTCAATGCGGTATGTATAATGAGGGATGACTGTAGGATACTTGACAGTAAGTTTCATATGGGGGGGGGTTACTTATGAAGCGTCAATTTGTAGTAATAAGTACCAGTAGTTAGCAAAAGCTCATCCTTATATTCAGTTACTCTAATTTTAGACAGAATAATTACATTCGTTAGAAATTTTCAATTATATATTTTTAAGACAGAAGTAGACTTGTCTGCGGTTACAAAAACATATTAAAAATGCAGAAGTGGTTTCCCATTTCTTCAACAACCGTAAAATTAAATATGCGAACAACCGAGAAGATTTATTTTTAAACCTACACACAGTGAACCTCATGGCGTATGTTGATGAACTGGAGCCTAATGTAGAAGCCCTGAGAGACAACAGTAGATCTACATACGAGGTGCTCAATAAATTAAAGGTGTCGTGGTATGCTAAGTATAGTTTCAACTGGATTAGGCTCGTTGTTTCTGATACAGGTAAGTCATATTGTGATACTTGAGTCATATTGTGATACTTAAGTCATATTTTGATACTTAAGTCATATTGTGATACTTGAGTCATATTTTGATACTTGAGTCATATTTTGATACTTGAGTCATATTTTGATACTTGAGTCATTTTTTTATACTTAAGTCATATTTTGATACTTAAGTCATATTTTGATACTTGAGTCATATTGTGATACTTGAGTCATATTTTGATACTTAAGTCATATTTTGATACTTGAGTCATATTTTGATACTTGAGTCATATTGTGATACTTGAGTCATATTTTGATACTTGAGTCATATTGTGATACTTGAGTCATATTTTGATACTTGAGTCATATTGTGATACTTAAGTAATATTTTGATACTTGAGTCATATTGTGATACTTGAGTCATATTTTGATACTTGAGTCCTATTTTGATACTTGAGTCATATTGTGATACTTGAGTCATTTTTTGATACTTAAGTCATATTTTGATACTTGAGTCATATTGCGAATAGGGTTGTGATGTTTCTTCTATTGTTAAATATTATTGAATCTGTAACTTCAATAGACGTTTATGTTGACAAAGTGAAGTGTTACTAGATGTTCTCATGTATTCTAGTGTTTCAACACGGAAATATCTAGATGTCTGAGCCGTTTTTGTATTACCTTAGGGTATGGATAGCTAAAATTAATATGCGTGTTGCATACACCATTAATGAACAAGGCAATTGTTGCACTAATAATACAATCGTATTGCACTGATACAGCTCTACTTCATTTCGTGATCACGTAACTTATTATGCTTTATACTTACACAGGGTCTTTGTTACTAGCTTGTTTTTTGTAAGGTGGTTTAAATGATATAGAAATATATGTAAAGCATTTCATTATTTCCTTCGATTGTTTCCTAAAAGATACACGATGTCCAAAAATTGCATCATAGTTAAGATTTGGTTGGTACATTTGTAGTAGTCTATCTTATAAAAGATGATTCAAAAATCTGAGTGTATATTTCGAATTTTAGGTAGAATATTCTTATTTCCAGATCAAATGAACATATCTTCCTTGCATTTCTTCGATAATAAAGATCAACTTACCATAGAGAAGTACTCCATAAGTAAAAAAGATTCTACGGTTGACATCCATGTTGCGTTGTCTAAATCTGCAAAACGACTCGAAATTGAGTTTGTCACAGACATTTCTCTATGTACGATATTCGTTAGTGGAGGTACGTGTAACACTAAGGCTTTCGTGTTTCAAAGATTTTATTTGGCTGTAAATACACCAGACTTAAAGTAAAGTATGAAGTTCCCTTTTCAAACCTGACGGGCTATAGGGCAATTGAAGTAGGGTTCACTTGTTTCTGTGACCTCGGCATAATTTTGAAGAGATAGTGTGTTCAGCACTATGCCCAGCCGCCTTTACTTTACCTAACGGGAGTTAGGTACCCATCAGAGTTGGGTGGACTCAGGGACGGTCTACTAACTTGAACCCGGTTTCGAACACGAGACGTACGGATTAGTAGTCCATTTCTCTACCGCTAGACCACTCCGTCCTCACACGAGACTTGGAATTGTCAATTGACCACAGCTGCGAGACATTATATCGTAAACAGTTTCACTTCTTTAGTGAGCACAATTAGGGACGGTATAGTCGAATGGTATAACTTACGACTGTTAACTCGTAAGTTTTGAGTTCGGATCCTATACTCGAATCTTTAGGACTTGCTGAGTTCTTGTAGCTCTTATAGGTTCCTGACTCACGGTAGGGAAACAAACAAGCCGGGGTACAATGCGGACCAACTAAGTATTTAAATACCGATGTGACTGAATGAGCTCTAACAACAGTTTCTAAGGTATGCTTCACTATTTTGTATGGCGGTGTGTGAATTTTGGGATATCATATGACGATTGCAAGTTTCTTGCTATATTCGTGGTCAAATTATAGAGCATAGGACAACTAACCCGAAAGTCTCGAGTTCGAATCCCGAATTCTTGTCAGTAACACGTCATGAGTCCACCCATCTCTGACAGCTAGGGAAAGTAAATGCGGCAGAGCCCAATGACGAGATGACTGATACAACTTGAACTCTGCTTCACCTGCAGCATGGACTTGCTGTGTATAATATTTAAACAAATACATGCATTGATCACTCTCCATAAACAGACAAATCAATACCGTGACTAGTTGAAGAGACAATAGACTGAGTTCTTGAACTGACTAAAGTGACAACTGACTGAATTCTTGAACTGACTGAAGTGACAATTGACTCAGCCATCTGACTACAGGTCGCAACATTGCACTGCATATGGCTACAACAATGTCCAGCACTAACGATACCAATGTAGCAAGCTTGGCTGTGGATAACGAACGTGAAATGAACAGCTCCGACCCTACATGTACCATGACTACTGACCAAGACATGTCCTCTCCTGAGTGGACTGTTCAATTTAACTCAAGTGTGTCTATCATTGGAGTCATTATCTACTCGAAAAGTAAGGTCATTGTTTGAACTAGGGGTGAGATAATTATCTACACAAGGGGTGAGGTCATTATCTACACATGGTGTAAGGTCATTATCTACGTGAGGGGTAAGGTCTTTATCTATAAGAGGGGTGAGGTCATTATCTATACGATGGGTGAGGTCATTATCTACACATGGTGTAAGGTCATTATCTACGTGAGGGGTAAGGTCTTTATCTATAAGAGGGGTGAGGTCTTTATCTATACGAGGGGTGAGGTCATTATCTACACATGGTGTAAGGTCATTATCTACGTGAGGGGTAAGGTCTTTATCTATACGAAAAGTAAGGTCATTGTTTGAACGAGGGGTAAGATAATTATCTACACAAGGTGTAAGGTCATTATCTACGGTAGGGGTAAGGTCATTATCTATACGACGGGTGAGGTAAATTTCCTACGTGACGAGTAAGGTTGCCTCTTGGATTGACCACCGAGTTTAACCAAACTCGACCAGTAAAAAAAACTATGATCGTTCAGATACAATTGTTTAAGTACATTATTGCTCTGAGCTCTTGTGTCAATAACCTCTTCATAAGAATGAAGGTTTATCTTCTTGTCATTTTTATCAACTCATGGGTCAAACGACTGCTTTCATTTTTAACAACCAGGTCCCTTAAGCAACTTATCTGTGACGATCGTGCGTAATCAGAAGACTTTTAAACTTTCCTTCAATGACATTCTTATGAAAAAGGACGTGGTACTTTTGCAACTTGACAAAGTTGTCGTGGCTGAGAGACTGGAGATCACAGTGCAAGACAGTTTACTTGAATTGTGCGAAGTTGAAATATACGGCGGTATGTTTTGTTGGTTGTTTTTTTTACATTTCCTGATAGGATTCATAATAAATCCAAATACCTCTTTACAAAAACACTAAGTATTCGTGCTTCATAGCACATTCAAAATCGCTCTTTAATATTTCAAAAACGAAATTGCGATTATTTTTTTTAAAAGCTAATATAAAGCATTATTTCTCTCAGCCCTAAACCCACCACATTCGCACTGTCCAAATAGTTCTTTTTAACTATAATTTCATTACATTCGCACTGTCCAAATTATCCTATCTTAACTCTACCTCAACTATATTTGCACAACTTCGTTTCGTCTCCTTAATGAGTAGATTTTCACCACAAAAACGTGTCATAATAGGGCTTCTAAGTCTCGACCTCTCTCGCTTAAATTAGAAACATTTTTGAGCTAAATTTATTGATGTGAACATGATTCCATGATGACAAAAAATTCCATAGAAAACGTTTTAATAACAAACTTCTGTGTAAAAAAATAAACCGAGAGTGATCTCCCCTAAAATTTCTCGGATATTCTTACATAACACTACGGGGGTGGTTACGCGGGATATAGAAATGATTTTCAATCCATTTTTACTTTCTCGTATACGAGCATTGTACTAATGAATATATCATACTTCATTGGTTTTCCCTTTTTCCAATATTAGTATCGTAACTTTTCGTATTAAGTTTCATGAATGTTTTGCTGTCGTAAATTATCTTGCAGATTTTGAGACTTATAATGCCACATTGTTCTTGTTTATAATTATTCAATCTTTCTTAACTTCTTCTTGTGTGACTGTAGATGAGACGTGTGAGTCTAACAAGTTCGGTTTGTTATGCGACAAACCGTGCGACTGTCGGAATAAAATTAAAACCTGCGCCATACCCACAGGAGCATGCTGGTCAGAATTTAAGGGAGATTTTAATGACGGGTGCAATAAAGGTAAGCTGTGACGTCATTATGACCATTTGTCACAATGGTAGGTTGTGTGTTCTTAACGAAACTAATGTGTCACAATTCTTGATTTGTGTGTTATTAACATAACGACAAGTTATGTGCTCTTAGTCGTATGTCAAATTGTAACAATTAGTTTCAAACTGTTAGGGCACTAGAATATTGAAATTAGTAATGTAAAAAACGTATTTTGTGATTGCTTACAATATCTTATCAGCCGAAATATATTTTTTTTTAATTTAGTAGAAAATGTGCCCAACTCATTATTAATTGCCAAATTCTTAATGTCTAAATTTAAATGTGTTTATTTTACACATATTAACTAACAACAGATAATGTTTTGTGTGGGAAGCCCCCTGATGTAGATCATGGCCAATGGACAGATTGTGTGAGGGTGATAGGATCAAATTGCTCATTAACGTGTGACCCTGATTACGAATTGATTGGAGACCCACACATCACGTGCCAGCCTAATGGACGATATACTGACCCTGGAATATGCCAACGTAATTACAAACATGTTTTCGTATTTTTTTTTCGCCGTGATCGTGTTGGTAAATCTCAGATTTGCTAAAATACAAAAGCCCCGAGTTCTGTCCCCCAGGATAACAACAACCCGTCTAGGAGAGACAACTCCAGAATCAAATAAACACTGCCTTGTATTATGTTCTTGAGTGGACATAGACTAAGGAAACAAATCAAGGAAGAAGAGCAGGCTCAAATCGGACTCAACAGCCCGTTTAGGCACATAACAAATGCACACTTAAAACTAAATTCTGTTAGCTGAAATCCTTTAAAAAATTACAATTAAGAAAGTAGAAGAACAAGTCCATGTTTGAGCTCTGGTGCTTTTATAGTGAGATAAACAAAATAGAAAGCTTCTGGGACTGATTTATTTTAGCAGACAGCCTGTCACAGTTCACATAATAGCCATGATAACCAATGGCATAGTAATAATTCAACAATCAATACTTCCATAATCACTTGACAAGATGCTCATACTTTGAGATAACTCCTTTCTAAGGCCTGCACATTTGGTTAAGTAGTTTTTTAGCAATACTTTTGTCTTCTTAGACACTTGTATTAGAATTTTCAGATGACCAAGACAAGGCTATATTTTTCCAACAATACCTTTTGGCTTTTACGTAGCTTATATTTAACAAATTATAACTTTAAACAGGCACTATTTTGTGTGGGAAGCCCCCTGATCTAGATCATGGCCAATGGACAGAGTGTTTGGGGGTGGTAGGGTCACGGTGCTCATTAACGTGTGACCCTGATTACGAATTGATTGGAGACCCACACATCACGTGCCAGCCTAACGGACGATATACTGACCCTGGAATATGCCAACGTAATTACAAACATGTTTTTGTACTTTATTTTTCGCCATGATCGTGTTAGTAAATCTCAGATTTGCTAAAATACAAAAGCCCCGAGTTCTGTCCCCCAGCAGAACAGCAACCCGTCTAGGAGAGAGAACTCCAGAATCAAATAAACACTGCCTCTATTATGTCTTTGAGTGGACATAGAATAAGGAAAAAAATCCAGGAAGAAGAGTAGGCTCAAATCGGACTCAACAGCCCGTTTGGCACATAACAAATGCACACTTAAAACTAAATTCTAATAGTTGAAGTACTTTAAAAAATTACAATTAAGAACGAAGAAGAAGATAAAGTCCTTGCTTTAAGATCTGGTGCTTTTATAGTGAGGTAAACAAAATGGACATCTCTAGGGGACTGATTTATTTTAGCAGACAGCCTGTCACAGTTCACATAAAAGCCATGATAGCCAATGGCATAGTACTAATTGAACAATCAATACTTTCATAATCACTTGACAAGATGCTCATACTTTGAGATAACTCCTTTCTTAGGCCTGCACATTTGGTTAAGTAGCTTTTTAGCAATACTTTTGTCTTCTTAGACACTTGTATTAGAATTTTCAGATAACCAAGACAAGGCTATATTTTTCCAACAATACCTTTTGGATTTTACGCAGCTTACTATTTAACAAATTATAACTTTAAACAGGTACTATTTTGTGTGGCGAGCCCCCTGATATAAGGAATGGTCATTGGACTGAGTGCCAGAGGGCGATAGGATCAAATTGCTCATTAACGTGTGACCCTGATTACGAATTGATTGGAGACCCACATATCACGTGCCAGCCTAACGGACGATATACTGGCCCTGGAATATGCCAACGTAATTACAAACATTTTGTCAAAATTTGGGTTCGGCGAGGTCTGGTTGGTAAATCTCATGGCTGCTAAACCAAACAGTCCCCAGTCACAACCCCCTAACAGATAAGGCTCAATAGCTAAAACAGCAACCCACCTAGGACATAAAACTCCAAAATTAAACAACGGCTGCCTTGTAGGTTTCGTTTCGGTTGGACAAAGACAATGAAAGCAGATCCAGAACAAAATGAAGGCTGAAATTAGAGTCAACGGCCCATATGGCACATAACAAGTTCACAAGCACAACTTAATTCTGTTAGCTGAAATCCTTTCCAAAATTTCAATTTTAATAACAAGAAGCAGTTCATGCTTTTAAGCATTCGTGCTTTTATTGTGAGGTCAATTAAATAAACATCTCTAGAATACCTATGTATTATAGCTGACAGCCATACATAGTTCACATAATAGCATTGTCGGAATACTAATTCAATAAACAATAATTTCATCCAAACAACAACTTGATAAGATGCTCATACTTTGAGATTAACTCCCCGCATTGGACTAACTATTTCGTTACGTTAGATCGCCAATACTTTTGTCTTCATAGAATCATTTATTCGATTTTTCAAACATCCAAGGCAAGACAAAAATTTTCCCAACGATACCTTTTGGTTTTGTACGCTGATTACTACTTTACTAATTATAACTTAAAACAGGTATAGTTTCGTGTGGCGAACCCCCCACAGTAAATCATGGCATTTGGAAAAAGTGTGAGAGGGCGATAGGATCAACGTGCTCATTAACCTGTGAATCTAATTACGAATTGATTGGAGACTCACAGGTCACTTGCAAGACTAACGGACAATATACTGGCCCAGGAATATGCAAACGTAATTACAAAAATTTGTTTAGATTTTAGTGTTCGGCATGGTCGGGTTGGTAAATCTCATGGTTGCTATCCCAATAAGCCCCGAGTTCTATCCCACGGGCAGATGAGGGTAAGAGCAGCCTTTCTAGGAGAGACAACTCCAAAATCAAACAACTACTGCCTTGTATTATGTTCCTAATGGAAATACACAATGAAAACAAATCCAAAAACAAAAACGGGATAAAATCGGAGTCAACAGCCCATAAGGCGCATAACAAGTTAAAGATGAAATCTCTTCCAACATTACAATTAAAAATAAGAGGTTCGTGCTTTAAGCTCAGTTTCTTTTAAAGTGTGGTAAATTAAATAGAAATCTCTAGAATACCTATTTATTTTAGCTGACACCCATACATAGTTCATATGATACTTACGTTAGAGTACTAATTCATCAAACAATACCCCCATACAAACAATCACTTGATAAGATGCTCATGCTTTGAATTAACTCCTTCACATAGGCCTACTTATTTCGTTATGTTACATTGTCAATAATTTTGTCTTCTTGAAGACATTTATTAGAATTATCAGAAAAGACACTTTCTTTAATTGCAGTACTTAGTGTCGTGTGCGTAGTTTATCATTATACACGTTGTAACTTTGAACAGGTATTGCTTCGTGTGGTGACCCCCCTTATGTAAAGAATGGTCATTGGACTGAGTGCCAGAGGGTGATATGGTCAAGGTGCTTATTAACCTGTAACCCTGATTACGAATTGATTGGACACCCACACATCACGTGCCAGCCTAATGGAATATATACTGGCCATGGAATATGCAAATGTAATTACAAATATGAGTTTGTGTTATTAAGCTGAGGTTATGTCATAATGAGGTTAAATAAAAATACATCTAAACAATACTTAGTCAATTTAGCTGCCAGTCCGATATAGATAACGAGCAGCGAACCCGTGCTTCACCACGGTGTGAAACTCTGCAAAATAATTTTTTGAGGATAAACAGGACACTCAGACTCACTCTGAGGTTTATTCCTATACTAGACCACCCGTTTTCCTTGGATAACTGTGGGTTTAATGGTCATTCATAAATGATGTTACACTTTTTAAACTATTTCTATTTCCCCTTCCCCTCCCACTGTTATATATCGTCAAAAAAGTCATAACACTAAAACTAAAAAGACGTTACACTTCAGCCAACATTTATTGTCTTTAAAAAAAAAGATTTCGGCTGAACAAAGTGCTGACCACATTATCGCTTTAAAAGTTTATCTCACAGAATCAGGTAAACTCAACTTCAGCTGCCCAAAGTCCTTACATGTTTTTGTCCTTTAAAATATCGATTTCTTTTTATAATGTTTTCTGAGATTAAAACTCATATGAAAAACAAATGAACAAACTATAAAAGCTAACAACAATATAGAAACTAAAAATAATGTATTAGAACCATTTACCTTACTTTTAGTATGATGTCTCACTGAGCAATTTTTATGTAGGAAAATTAAACAAAAGTAAACTCTTGTTTGTTTTCTATTTTCATAGTCAAGCCGCTTAACAGGGTGGTTAGCTCGCTGTCGTCTTGGCCAGCCATAAAGAAAAAAATACTAAGTCAAATATTATTTTTATTAAAATATATCCTAATATAACCCATTCCTTTGCTAAGAAACTAAGATTTATACGAAATATTCAAGGCCTTAAATAGTTTAGTGTTTGTGTGCTTGTTTTTGCTTTTAACTAATTAATTTTTATTTGATCTACTTTTCTAAGCTAAGTTACTAAGTAACCTTAGTTATAATTTCTAGTTGTCTCGTAAAAAAAAATCATTATATTCTCGAATTACAAGATTTGTCACGCGTATTCTACTGAAAATTGATAATGGTGTTAGAACCCGAAGAATCATCTTTACAGCTGTAGCCGACTGAGAATGTAGCTTTATAATAAATTAGGCTTTTTAATCTTTTTTTCCCTTAGAAGCCATGTTGTAAAAATAAAGTATTTGCTTTCAACTTGTATAAGTAAAAGTGTGATTCGACTAATGAATATATTATATATTATTATTTAAATTTAGATCTTACAAATAAATTTGTTTATGACATAATTATTACATATTTTCTCTACATATATAAGTAGGCCTACTTTAAATTCTACACATATTGTAAATGCTCTGATCAAGTGATACTAACAAACAAAACTAAATAAATATGCAAACTCATGAGTTTTAGTACATTGTATAATAAATAGGTCTACACATATTTGTTTGCTTTATATAAGCAATACTTCTTTCTTCACGGAGACTTCTATCTAATTTTTTAGGCTACCTAGACATGACAATCTCTTCCTAAAGATACCCTTTTGTCTGTCATCATTTTTTTCTTTTTGTTCCTGGCATTTTTCCTTGTTGTACATAGGGCCTTTTGTCAAAACTTTCCACTACCAAGGGTCTCCAGACAATCTGTTCAGCTGTTCCCAAAATCTTCTTATCCTTTCTGTTTGGATCGAGCTTTGAGTCGCTTGCTGTGGGGATTCAACTAAAGGCCTGTATGGCTATATTGATAGCGTACTTCCTAAGAGTATGCCAAATCCATCACCATTTCCTATTCATGATTTGCTTTTCTATTGCTTGCTTGCTGTGCACACATCTGCCACAATTTCTCGTTTTTAATTAAATTCTGGATTCCTTCAACTGTTGCCCCTGGTGTTTTCCATGTCTCGGCTCCGTATAGTAGGATTTTTTCCCTTTTAATATCAAATATTCGAATTTAATGTTTATTTTAGAAGCCTGATGCTTTCCAAACATTTCCAAGACAGGCAAATGCCATTCAGGTCAGGTTTATTCTGCCTTTAAATGTTTGTCTGTTCCTATCAATACGTTGACCACACTGCCGATATATATATATATATATATATATATATATATATATATATATATATATATATATATATATATATATATATATATATATATACAGCTATCTACTTGGTAAATGGTTGGGTTTTCTAATTTTACATCTCCAATCTCCATCGTGTTTATTATACATTTTTAGTTTGTTTGTCTTTTGGTGGTTTATTCTAAGTCCTACACGTGTCACTATTCTCACTCAAAGATGTAATTTTTTCTCAGGTGTGTTTTTGAGTCTGTGAGATAGAACGGTTATATGTTCATCAAATCCTAAGTCTTCCAGTTGTTGTGTCAGCCTCCATTGAATTCCTTTGCATGGGTTTGCATGTCCCTCTCTTGTAACCGAAATTAAAACTAGCAGGAACAGTAATAGTGAGAGGAGTTAGCCTTGCTTAACTCAAGTTCTCACAGGAAAGTCTTCGGACAGTCTGCTCCTGTGTAGCTCTTGATCGGTAAAACCATTTTCCCTTTTGTGCAGTTCATTATTTTACACATTATAACTAAAAACAGATATTGTTTTGTGCGGGGAGCCGCCAGATGTAATGAATGGCACATGGAGTGGGCAGAATGACACATTCTCAAAGTGTGAGGGGAAGCCGGGATCAAGGTGCTCATTAAAGTGTGACCATGATTACGAATTGATAGGAGACCCAGACATCACTTGCGAGCCTGACGGAAGATATACACCTAGCTCTGGGATATGCCAACGTAATTACAAACATTTGTTCATGCTTCTAAGCTCAGGTGTTTTTATAGTGAGGTAAATTATCTACGCGTTATGATTCCATACAGTCGGTTTTATTTTATTTCTACCAAAATTCATTCGCTCCCCAATATTTTCTTACTTATATTACACCTGTCATAACAGTAGTATTATCACAAACACAACCGCATACATTTATACAATGTTAAAATAGTTTCACAACACCAACATTATTGTTATTGTATATTTCACGTATGCATAGCTACCTACATCTTAGCATACACATATTCAACTGTAGGTAAATAAAATCGTGAGTTGGAGGCCACCATTAAGTTGGGTATTTTCTCGAATTTTACAGCAATCCTTTGTGGGGAACTCCCGGCCGTCGCCAATGGCACCTGGTTACCGTGTACCAAACAGGTGGGGGACACGTGCACTGTGATCTGTAAGAAGAGGTACGCCATGAATGGGACCGGTGTCGTGACCTGCCTCAACAAAGAGAACAAGGGGACCTGGTCCGTTCCCGGCAACTGTCAGCGTGAGTTCTTTTCTTAGCTTAGTGCTCACATTCTGCCCAGTGGCGCCAAATCGCATGAAACCGCCTGATTCAACTAAGTAAACCGCTATATTACCTCAACTTATTCATAGTCTATTGCACTCACTAAAACGAACGTAGGCGCCATAGCGCAAACGAGGATACACGGGGCGCCAAATAACACTATGGACGCCCTGGATTCGATTTAGTAACCCTTTTTATCAATAGCCTATCGCACTGTTTCAATCGAATATAGACGATACAGCGCTCACGGGAAGACCCGGGGCGCCAAATAGCACCCTGTCGGGGCGCAGTAGGATGCCCTGGTTTTGATTTAGTGAGTGACATTAGACTAGTAACCCTTTTTACCCACAGCTGATTACGAAATTTAAAACGAAAAATAGAAGTAGACATAGAGGACGTTTAGGAGCAACTTCTAAACTGTTATTAATTAAAAATAATAAATAGTAAACAGTACGTTCAGTGCATAAAATAAATAAAAGGCATTATTTAAAATATTCGTGTTTTACCTACCATATTGCACATTCATTATCAATCTATGCTAAATATATATTATTCCAAAAATAATGCTCTCAGGGTCGTCCTCGGAATTCAGCTAGGTTGATGAAATTTCATCTATAAATATTCTCTAAAATGTGTAGTTTTGTATCATTTTTTCAGCGATTTCCAGTAACCGGAAGTAGAACTTTTTCTACTTTTAATTTTACAAAAGCCCATAGTTTGAGTACTGTTTCAGACAGTTAAATGAAATTTCACATTTGAGTAAAAGATCTAATTCTCTGCTTTCTGACAAATTTTGTGTAATTTCCATTGACCGGCAGTAGTAATTGACGCTATTTCCGATTTCTCAAAAAACGCATGTGAATTTATAAAGGACTAATAATATTCCGCACTATTGTACACAGATTATTTGGCGTTCACTTGGTGCGCAATTCTTTTTTCTACGAGTATGTATTCTAGTTTTAAAAAGTTTAAGTAATTAAAAAATGGATTAAAAATATTTTCTATAACCCAAGTTACCATCCTTCGTAGTGTTAAGTAAGAATATTCAAGAAAGTTTAGGGGAGATCAATCTCGGTTTATTTTGTATTAGCGTCATTACCTCCCTTGGCATAATTATTAAACATTTTTATTAATCTCTTTTTTTACCCTACTGTTATTTAAATATATCCATGTTTTTCTAGGAATCTAGTAGGATTTAGTTGCCTTTGATAAAGTAGGTTTGGGTTCAGTGTTTCTTCCAGACTTTTTTCTCCGGGGGGGGGGGGGGCACTAGAAATCTTCGGGGGGGCGGTAAACTTTCTTCGGGGGGGGGGGGGCGGACACTGTTAAAAGTATATATTTTCTATATAAATTATATAAATTTCATTTCGTTCGGGGGGGGGGGGGCGGTAAAAATTTTTCGGGGGGGGGGGCTAAGCCCCCCCGAAGAGATGCCTGGAAGAAACTCTGTTTGGGTTGGGTTAGGTTGAGTTGTGCTAAATCGAAATCAATTGAAATGAAACAAAATTAATCGAAGGAAAAGAATTGAAATGTACATCGATATAATTTCTTGTGATTTATTTCTCCGCAGCGTACGTTAGGATTGAGGTCAAAAAATTTGATCCAGTACAGCCGACAGACGCAACGAGGAGCAGTAATTCCAATAACAATAATGATTCGGCTAGACACTACATTTGGCTCGTACCCCTAGTTGTGGCCCTTGTAGTTGTAGCTGGTTGTATTTATATCCATGTAAGAAAAAAAACTGAAGAGGAAGAATAGACCATACACCCCCCACCCCCAATCCAATTATGCCCAAATTGTAAGGTGCGCGGACCTTTGACCACAGGTGCTTTGACCATACGGGGTTCGACCATAGGGGGTTTGACCATAGGGGGTTTGACCACAGGTGTTTTCGCAGCAGAGGGTCTTTGATCACAGGTGGTTTTCAACGGGTTTTTAATCACAAGCGCTGTGTCAGGCTTTAAACACATGTGTTTTTTCCATATAGGGTCTTAGATCACAGTGTTTTTGTCCAATGCTTGCGTTTGATAATGAGCGCTTTGTCCATATATTGTAATGATTTATTTTAAATGTTGTGTAATTATATTTTAAATTGCGACAGGATAATATTATTATAATAATATGTTAATTCATCATATATAAATGCAAGTCATCTAAACCATACAATTATTACTTCTTTGACTACACTGTTGGTATGTTTTTTTATCCTTTGTTTTAGCCTTTCTATTTATGTATTTTCAAGTACATCTACATTATTTATTTGTGAAACTTGTTATATGACGCATTAAGTATGTTCCGTTTATATTTAAAATAAATTCAGTGAGGCGTAGCACCAGCCTTTATGTGGAGACTAAACTATCAATCTTAACTTTTTTTTTTTACGTTAATTTCTATTTCCCAGGAAACATGTATAAAATCGTATTAATTGTATCACAAATTTAAATCAAATAACAATTTATAATATCTATTTTAGAATCTATATATTATGGTTAACCCCCCTCTGTGGTCAAAGCCCCGCTGTGGTCAAACCCCTATGGTTAAAGCACCTGTAGTCAAAGCACCTAGGACCAATTGTAAGATTAAAAGCCTTTCTACCGAGTGTGTATTATAAATTGATATCCCCGCCTTCTTGGTTTTAGAGAGCAGTCCCCTAACTTGCTTCAACCTTTTAGCCACATATATGTGGAGTGATGGAAGTTTGAGATAAGACGCATACAGAGAAAGAGAATGGTTGTGTCGTGTCATTTGTTAAGAATATGTTGATACCCTTGATTAAGAGGGCAGAGAAATCAGTTGCGGTTAAAGTATTGCAATAATAGCTATAAAAAATATATTTCTGTAGTGCACTTTTAAATTAATGGCTCTAAACATTAGATTTTGGTAGCAAAAGATTATATTTAGAAAAGGCTGTAAAAAAGACGTTTTAATTGAATGTCTGTAAACATGTTATTTTGCTATTTCATTTCGAATTTTAAGACTGTAAAAATGATTTATTTGTTTCTCAAAATAAAGAATGATGCATGGAACTCACGCGTTTTCTTTAATTTTATTGTTTTGTACATTTGAAAATATAGGTTTATATTTTACTGGTTCTCAAAATAAAGTGCATCAACATCACTAAATTCCAAAAACAAAAACATTACAACATGATTTAAGATATATATATATATATATATATATATATATATATATATATATATATATATATATATATATATATATATATATATATATATATATATATACTGTGTGTGTCTGTATGGAAAAATCTCTAGCTAGCAGAAATAGCCCAGAAGTTGAGATAAACCAACGTATAAGATATAATATTTGTAAATATAATTGTATGTTTATCAGAAAAGGTGTTCAAA